CACCACTTCTTGCTATTTCATCAATATGAAGGTTTGCAGCAAGTTTTGCTGTTCTGTTTGATATTAAACCTGCTTTAATTCTTGTTGACTTCTTGGACATGGTGGTAAAATTAATTTAGCATGTAGATTTGTTTCAAGTAACTAAAAAAATATATTTTATTTTGAATTATGAAATTTAACACGAGATTAATATTGATTAAATGTATGTCTATCTTAATACTTCATATCTAACATATCAATTAAATAAAGAACAAGTAATAACATCTTTGTTGAAATCTCAGTCTACCGACCTATTTCTTTTTTGACATAGAATATGAGAAGTCTTCTTACTTTTTTAAAATCTACATTCAAATGGATATCAATCAAAGCAGGAACACTAAATTAACTATAACATGGTAATTTCTTGTAATCTATTTTCAAAAAAATCTTATCTGTCAATATCAAAAGCAACATCGATAATTATCATAAACTTCTCTATCCCATAATACGGGAAAATCTTTAGATAAAGGATATGGGATGCGTCCTTTTTCGTCCTTAATCATGTGTCAGGATGTAAGGAAGATAGGGACGAAAAAGGACGCACCCAGAATATGCTAGACATAATTAAACATTCTTAGATATTATTTAGAATCTCAAAAGAATTGATATACTGGCACGAAAATTTATAACTAGATTTCAGGACTTTTATCTGAAAATATTAGAAAACTATAAAATTTTCTATATTGTTTTGTTTTTTTTTCTAAAGACCTTCAGAAGAAGTATTAAGATGAGAATTTTTTTTGTTGTCAATAATAAATTACTTTTTCATCAAGTGATTCCAGTGTACAAGAAGCGCAACAAATTTAATAATTTTCTCTTAGAAAAAAGAAAAGAACAATCTAAAATCTTACTTTGATTTCATTGTCTAAGAAGTTTAATGCATTCTTCAACATCTCCTAATAGCATTGGAATCTGATCTTGTAAATAAATAAAAGTTAATTTTTCCCAACAATCTTTACCATCTAATTTTGGTCGAACTTCTGTATGAAAACAAAAAAAACAATATTTTCATTAACTTTTGTTCTATAAATAGGTAAATCAACTGTACAAATAACTCCATGATCACCATTAATAAGTGCATACTTTATCATTTGACCATATTGCTTTTTCTTATACTTGCTAATGAGCGCTTTTGTTGAGCATCATATAAAATAATATCATAATTTTCACGAATTAATAAAAGACGTGTACCAACCTAAAAAATTAATGAAAAAATTTAAAAAAAGAAACAAATTTAAACTTACAATATAATTTTTTTATCAAGAAAAATAAATTGATTTCGAGCAACCCATATAGCATTCAAATCAGACAAATGACGCCCTTCAGGTTGACAAGTTGCAATAATTACAATAAATTCATATTTTACATATTAAAAATTGCGAATATATGATACAAATTTTTCCATGTTGTTGCTGATCTATCGAACAAAGAGAAAAGAATTCAATGATGAACACATACTTGAATATTGTGTGTTCGTCTGCTTCGTGTGCTCACAAACGAACATGACACAGACAAGAATGAAAAACAGGCCTAGACAATAATGTTTTTTTCTTTTCTTCTCTCGTCCGTAAGTTATGCTTCATGTTGTCATTGATGATCAATGATAATGTGACATAATGAGTGTGTATGTCAATTAAGCATTATCCATACACATACATTGAGATACTGTAATTGAATTTATCTCAATGTATGCGTGTATGTTGATAATAGCTTAATTTTTATCATCTTTTCATCACTCTCTGACGAGAAAAAAAAAGAAAATTATCGACTTTTTAACGTATAAATATGAATGATTTTCCATGTAAAAATCATTCAATTTATTGAATCAAATTCTAATCTTTTCTTTTTATATTTTAGAATGATTTCGACGATACAAAATTATACAATTCAAATCAATACAACACAATAAAAAAATGTAGGTATCAGTTTTTATTTTTTTCTTCTTTTTTTTTTCTTTATTGGATCATACAGAGGCTGGTAAGTCCTCTTGTGATCTTTTATATTCATGTTTTTCTTTTTCTTTTCTTTGTTGAGATGAGAATAGTTAGGGTGAGTGAGGTACGTTGAGTTTAGGGTTTCGCTTTATAAGAAGGACTTCCGGGTAGTCCCTAAAAGCCTGGCCAGGAACTGTCTTGGTGTCCGTGGCACACGATCGGGCCCCCAGACTCACTGACATATGACATCGGATGGGTGCATGTGGAGGATGTGAGTCGTCCCGAGAGTGCATGAGCATTACGCTCGCCACGGCTCCACCAGGATGGTTCCTGGTCGCGCGCGCGCGAAGAGAATAGAATAGCTATGAATTCATTTTTTCATTCAATCACGATTTATTTGAAAGAGAAAGAGAACAAAAAAAAAAATTTAATCATCGTATTGAATTTCATATGATATCAAATTTTTGTACTCGATGATTTCCGAAATCGACGACATAGAGATTACCATGTCGATCGAATGATAAACCAACGGGACGATAGAGTTGATTTGACCGTGCTTCTTCATCGTCTCTACCAACAATGACACTTCCTTGTGTGGCTCCTTTTGGCCAACGCATGATTTGATTATTCCAAGAATCAGCCACATAGACAGTACCCAATTGATCGACAACGACTCCTAGAGGACTATTCAATTGTGTAAGACTATTTCCTTCTCCTTGACCACCGGCTACGACAATGCCTTGTTTTGCACGTTCTTCCCATTTCATTACACGATGATTGTAACAATCAGACACATAAACTGAATGATCTCGATCGACAAATACGTAGTGGGGATTAGAGAGTTGATCGAGACGATTTCCTTTTCCATTGCCACCTGCAACTACTGTTCCTTGAGTATCACCAATTTTATATCGTCTCACTTCATGTTTTTCAACGTCAACGACATAGAGAAAACCATTGTCGTCCATTGTCAAACCACAGCAAGAGATATTTGAAATAATTGTTTCTCCACGAGTACCATTTCGACGAGGCCAACGAACTACTCTTTTATTCTCTCCATCGCATATGATGAGACTATCGCTCTCTTTGTCGATAATCACATCTCGTGGCCAATTTAATTGATGAGCTCCATTTCCACCAGCAACTACTTTTCCATTCTTTGCACCAAATTTCCATTCCACAATACGGTTATTCCAACAATCAGTGATATAAATCGTTTGATCATCGTCGACGTACAAACCCGATGGACGATTGAGTTGATTGGTTTCACTGCCTAGTCCATTTCCTCCAGCTACAGTGATACCATTCTGTGTCCATTTTGCATTCGGATGAATATCAATGGAACTTGCACACATTGGTACTAAAATGAAACAAAAGTATGGAGTAGAAATAAACATCGATTTCATTGAAATGAATCATTCTCAATTGTTTTAAACAGTATTGAACTGCTCTCAATTACAAAAGTTTTTTACTTATGAACTTGATTAGAATCTGATTTTCTCAATGTTGAAAACAAAACATGGTTGATTTTTCTGAAATATTTTGTATAAGAATCCTTAGTTTTACTAAAACTCACTAAGATTTAACTGGTAACGTGAAAAATTGCGATTAACTCAAATTTTTATCGTAAATGAAATTTTCTTTTATATCGAATTTTTCAATATATTCACTGATTTCGTTAGTTCGAGTTTGAAATATATTTAAAAATTATTTCATTTTTTATTGTTTGGATTTTACAATAAAATGAGTTATAATAGAATTTGAACGTAAGGAAAAACAATTTTGTTATCAGTTGATAGGAAACGGTGTATGATTTATGTTCGTCACACATTTCTGAGTGAAATGAGACAAAATAAATTTGCAACTTTTATATGAATTCGTTAAAAACATCTTGCTAGATAATAACGATAGTTAATTATACTTAACTACCATGCATAAGACGTCTTTGACTGATTCATATAAAAAAATTACAAATTTTTTGTGTAAGTACGTTTCTTTCTTATTCAATTTACGAATGTGTGACAAATATAAATCATACAGCATTCGAAAGTATTTTATGCCATTAATTTTGCATCATAGTTATTATTGAGTAATTTATTCCTGAATCTCAAACAAACAAGTAGTTTGTAGAAAGGCTAATTGAAGTACTAAATAAGATAAGTTTAGATAAAATAATACGTAAGTTCAAATTTTAGTACATGAAAAGAACTCAAAAACAAATCTCTCCCAAGTTCAAGAATATTTGAAGAATCTGTCATGTTCATTATTCTGCATTGTAGCACAAACAATAATCTATATACGAATCAATCAAATCTTTTATTTTGAATTCATTTCTAATGTATTACAAATTTTCAACTTAATAGGGTATGGAACACGTTTTTTTAAACAATAGTAGTTTCGATCTTTCTACAATTAAATATTTTCGCTTCTTTACAAGACAATACGAATCTCCTATGAAAATCTTGATCTAAAATGTTTGCAAGCTTATGTTTTGTAGGTTATTCAATAGGTGTAAATTTTTGAGGATTCTCACAAAAACAACGATCGTAAAAGATTTCATCATGATTTTAGCTATTCTCAATAGTAATAAGTGTGAAGATTTCTTCTTCAAATTGTTATTGTATCGCATTCTGAACTGGTTAAATCTTAGAAGAAAGTTTTTTTTTTGTTTGTCTAGAATTTTCTAAAGGTTGATATTGATATTGATTTGAGCTTTAAACTAGAAACAATACTTCTATGATTATATCTTGAATGGACAGTTACGGAATCGATGAAGTTAATAAAAAATGTCATGCAGTTTTATAAACTCCCTAAAAATAATTTAAATAATTTCATCCTTTTTAATTTATCTATGAAGAATCTAGCTATAATTGAGATCTTGATTAAATTTAATACTATTTAATCAATTTTCATTTTTATTACATGTAATGTCATGTATTTTTAATATGTTTAATGTCTCAGTGCAATTGGAAGAAAGTACATTTTAGTATTATTTCTTTTCTTCCATCGACAAAAAACAAATACATGTAAAACGATATCAGACCTTTAATTATGTCTCAAACAACTCGAAGATGAGAGCCAGAATCAAAACAACACTTTCTGCTTTCTAAATCAAAGAGATTGTGAGACATAAAATTCGAGTAGATAATTTTATTTTCTACTTATAGATGATGGCATAGAGCTATATGAGATGCTTATTAATACTATAGATTTATTTTAATTAAATCAAACTTCTCAAATATCTCTTATACACATGGAAATAATCAGTCTGACCGGCTACTTTGCTTCGTTTTTTTGCACATAAACTTCAGTCTTATTTTAGAACAAGTACAGTCAACATTTGCTCTATATTTGATATTATATAAAATCCTATTCATTATTTTTCATTTTTCTATATTAATAACAAGTAACGCTCGTCTCTGTGACTCGCTTGACCCTCGACTGAATGTTTGACTGCTTCGATATTTTTACTGTTACACATACCTTTCAAAAGCTAGCAACTGGCCTATGTATAAGGTTGTGTCTGAGTGCGAATAGTAATACACAAATCTGTGTCGGCGTGTGAATAGCCATGCGTATCTTTGAGATACTACTTTCCATACCATTCATTCACTTAAACTGATACTCTACGAGTACTATCCAAAGTAAATCTGTATGACCCACAATAGTACAGCAATATCCACAGGCTCCGAAAAGACAGTATATTCGATTTGTAGAGATAATCAAGAAACAAAACATATCCGAGATAATAGGGTGAAAATGCACTATACTTCTCGAAAACTATCATCATAATCCGTATAGCCACCAGTAAAAAACCGAGAATATCATTTACCAGTGCTCGCTACTAAAATACCTGCGTAGCGGAACTTTCAGATTAAAATAAATCATATTGGTTCAAACCAATACTCGTCATATACCATTTGAGTGAGATTTTCATTCAAAGTCCTCGTTGGATTAAACAGTTAATTCCAAAATACCCAAAGAAATTTAGACAAGTGAATGGGCAGAAGTATGGATAAGAGAAATGAGAAAAACGGATTTTATTGTACTCAAATCTACTTTGAATGAACTTATGTAAATTGTTTAATTAAGGTTTTTCATGAAATGTTCTATCCCGATCGTCAGCAAATTCAGCACAGCTGTTCTCACTCACACCCTCAAATATACTTGTTAGCTTTTTGCCATCTCTCGTTCCCACTAAAACAAGTAAGAAGTAAATGGTAGAGATTCTCCCAATGAATTTGGAGTGTCTGAAGCGTTCCTTTAATGAATTTCGTCGGGAAGCAGTTAGTCGCTCTTAAGTGCCCCAAATGGACGCCACTCATACTCGCAGCTATAGTTGCTGCCATGTTCAGTTCTATTTGAGTATATGATCGTGCACTATCATTTAAATTCTACCCGATTCTAGATTTCTCTTAATTTTAAAAGTAGTTAGAACTATAAGATGAGGATTTCCCATGAGAAATTCCAAAGTGGAAACATTGTTGTGAACTATTCTTTATGAATTTAATTCCCTTGCATAGCTAGCCAATCTGAGATCTAATTGAATTTCTCATCAAAATAATCTTAGCAAATTACTCAATCAAAAAGCTGGCTTTATACAGCCCGTATCTGAAACCAACTAAATGTGAATTTAAAATCGGAGACATTGCAGTTGATTGTCAGTGCTTCAACGTAGCGCCAATCGCTGTTAGCCACTGCAAAGGTTGAACCTACACTCCTAAATGGCTACTCTTTTATACGAGACCTGAATGATTCAAGCTTCAACTACATCAAAAGCGTATTTATTTATCCCTGCGAGTACTAGATTTTCTCTATCAGGCAAAACATCTTTTTAACATATACTCGTTGTTTCTCTAACTTCTCGATATTTGTATAAATCCTTCTATACATAAACTGTCATTGATTGAGTCTTAGTGGCGCATTTTCAACCATTTTGCTAGACGCTATGCAGGCATTTCCTAAATCACGAATCCTATAAACCTGCTTTGGCAGCAGCAGACGTTCGTCTGCGCCCCGTCGGGGCACCACTAACGACTAGCTGCTGCCCTTCTTAACTCCGTACCACTAAATGACTAATCTTTTACTCTGACATAAGCAAAGTCTTCATTTCAAAATTTCGATTCAAATATTGAAATATTATGCGAACAAGCCTGATTAATATTGCAAAATTTTATGCCTTACGACTATATATCGATTGGTAAAATGTACTCCACTTTCACTGAATGAATCTTCGGTATGCACAAGCAGTCCAAAATACAACTTTAGCAGTAATGTCTCGCGGAGAGTAGACAAACATTAACACATACTTGGACTTTACAATTCATGTAAAGATCATGATTAAATCAACATTATGTAAAACGGAACCGGATGCTAAATCTCTGTTGTTTTTCCTCACTTGACAGAGACAAGCGCACAGATAAATGCATCCTCTATGATATCACCACCTGTTCACTATCAGCAAAAAAGTTAATTCCTGATTCCACAGCTTTCAAGTCAGTGGGAAGTTCGGATACAACATCTCATCTCAGATTCGGAATCCTGACCTTCCATAACTTCCATCAAAGTTCCATCAAAGCGGTCACAAGCCTTAAAATAAAAAAGTTCGTTTCTGATTGGTCGGTTTTCAACCAATGAAACCTCGGCCAAAAAAATGAGCTTCGGATTCGGATTCAGTGCCCTGTATAACCTCTAGCAAAGTTCGATCAAAACGGCCAAAAGCCTTAAAATAAAAAAGCTCATTTCTGATTGGTCCGTTCGTGACCAATGAAATCTTGACCAAAAAAATGGGCTTCGTATTCGGATTCAGGGCCATTGATAACCTATAGCAAAGTTCGATCAAAATGGCCAAAAGTCTTAAAATAAAAAAGCTCATTTCTGATTGACCCGTTTCTGACCAATGAAATCTCGCCCAACAAAATGGGCTTCGTATTCGGATTCAGGGCCATCGATAACCTATAGCGAAGTTCGATCAAAACGGCCAAAAGTCTTAAAATAAAAAAGCTTATTTCTGATTGGCCCGTTTCTGACCAATGAAATCTCGGTCAAGAAAATGGGGCTTCGGATTCGGATTCAGGACCATCGATAACCTATAGCAAAGTTTCATCAAAGCTTGGAAAGGCCCTAAAATAAGCTAACCTCTCATAAATGTTCTTTTGACCCTGCCACAAACACACAAACACACAAACTATTTTTTTTCATATGACCCTCCCTACAGTCGAGGGAATATAAATCACAATTAGTTTTAATTTTAATTTTTCTATGTTGGTAATATACATAACAGTTAGTTTTATTGCATTTATTTTCTATATCAATAATACAAGAATCTTAATTCTCATTTCTTGTTTTTCTAAAT